TTTTGCAGACCAGACTCAAGCCGTTCAGTCTTTGGGGTTTTGCTTTCAAGGCAAAATTCTTCTCTTAAACCCTCTCCCTCATCTTTTCAGCACAGCCAGCATGAGCCTAGGGCACCAAATCTTAACCTGTGCTTGCCTGTGGCATGCAGGGAAACGGGCAGCAATGTAATGATTCTGAGCTTGAGCTTTATTGCATGAGATTCTCAATTTTCTGGGGGGAACGGAGTGCAGAAAAGCTTGAAAGCATGAAGTGAATGCAGCACAAATGCCTGGAAACAAGAAATGAAGCAACTTTACATACATTTAATAGATACCACTACCTTTAGGCCAGTGGTGGTTTTGTATAAGGTCTAATAAATGAATACAACACTGAAAGCTTTTTGCCTTTATCTTTTGTGCTTACTGAAGTGGTGAAGAGCTCCTTCAGGTGGACCCCCTCCTTTTGTAGCCATTGAGTTTGAGGGGTGCTCTGGGCTCTGTTTGCAGCATTGGCACTGACTAGTGCTGGAGGTTCCTGCAACCAGTAATGCTTTGGGCAAACCCAGAAACCTGCTGAAGGCTCTGAGGCACAAAGCCAGGACATAGGTAGAAAGTTTGGGTCCTGCATTGGTGCTTAACTCTCCTGGATGTGCATGCAAGGGATATGTCCAAACCCAGGTGCTGCTGAGCTCAGCTGTGTGATGTTTGGCATCGTATGGGGTTGTTTCTCTTTCCTTCCATTTCTCTGTATGGAATTGCTGTTATTACCTTATCAGCAGCTGAAGGTGGAATTCCTGGACTTCCCAGGCTTTGTCTTTATTATTAATGTAAGAATCTCTGTGAACACAGCCACGCAAATGCATCATTCTATAGCAGCCCTGAAAATGGCTGAAACTCTTTGTGTTCCTCCTGCCTGTATGTGTGCTCCCATAGGGCTGTGTACAGAACCCCTGGGGTTCCCCATCCTCAGTGTTCATATGCAGAAAGCTGGCTGACTGTTTGAAATAACACACAAGCAGTTGTGTCACAAAACATCATCTGAGATGGAAGTGGGTAAAAGCAGGATTCACTGTGCAAACCTTTTTGTATCCAAATGATTGCTTTAGGAATTGCTGATAATGTGCATCAGTCAAGATTGCCTTAAACAGAAGCGTTGTACTGCTTGTCTGCTCTCTGTCATTCAATTCCCATGCAACACAGCAACCATTGTTTCCTTCAGTATGATAACTGGATACTTTACCTTCTTCTATGGGTCTGGGTCTTAGAAAAGCTGTATGCATCACTGACTGTAAATTTAAATCTGCAGGCAAGGAATCATATTTTGCAAATTTAGAAAATTAGAAACCTCAGTTTTCGAACTTAGACTTTGAGCTGTGTACTTAATGTTAACAAAACAACTCCATATTTCTCTATAAAACACGGTAGGCATTGATCCATTCCAGCAGTGCTCAGGCACACCAGCCTGAATTCCACTTGAATCTGTATTCAGCACAGAGTCCCTGTGCCTTGCCCAGAGTGCTGTGTTGGATAAATTCTTCTTACATCCAGATCCATCCAGAAGGCAGCACCAGCCACAGGATGGGACTTGGGCCAACTCAGTCTGTCTGGAAACCTGTTCCTGTGCTGGTGGTTTTGTACGTGGAGGTGAACAGATACTCATGAGAGTTTCCTTCTAGGGAGCGTGATGGGTTTGAAGATCTGCTTTGTTGGTATGGCCATCTTGAATGGGATGGTGTGGATACCCATTTGCCACATGCAGCGTGCCTTGCTGAGGGTAGGAGGGATGGGTAAAGCAGAAAAACTTGAAGATGAACCTTTCTCAGCCTTGGTAATATAGGTTTTGTTTCCAACCCCCCTGCCCTATTGGAGAAATAACTGAGATCTCAGCACCTCCTGCCGTTTCTATGTATTTGATGTATGCTTTTATGATGCAGGTACTTCATGTATCCAGTTCTATTGCTGCTGGTGAGAGGTATTTTTTTGAGAGTACATCTGCATTTACTGAGAGCTGTTTTCCTTGAATCCGAGCCTGGGTGACTCAGATTTGGCCGTCTCCTTTTCCAATGGAAAGATGGAGAACAGAATGTTTTGGTCATTTGGAGCAGCTTTCGCATTGTGCATTCCTGGGATGGTTTTTTGTTGTGGGAACACACAAAGCCATTCATCCTGGTATGACAAGACTGCAGGAAGAATCCAGTGGAGATCATGAAGACCTTTGTAGTCTGCATCATTTTTGAGGAAGAAGGAAAAACAAAATAAGCTGAACTGGCCCCTCGGTGTTGATAGGGGCAGATATTTTTAGATATTTTTGTGGTGGCTATTTTTTTTTTTTTTTTTTTTTTTAAACCTTGTGGCAGGGGAAAATCTCATTTCTGTGAATATTAAACTGGAATATTAAACCTGGCCAGATGATACAAGGAATAGGAAAAAATGGCTCAAGTTTTTCTTACGTGCCATACGACAGCATGTTTGTGTGTGTTCAGAACTGTGCTAAGAGCACCTGTTGGGGTGCTGAGGATGCAGTACAGAAGCTCAGAGCAAGTTGTTATCTCTAATGGAGCAGGACAGTGCCCTGTGGAGATGCTGGCCAGCGTCCCAGCCTGAGATGTGAGTGCAGGATGAAAGCTGCATTGCTTGGGTCTTAGAATAGTAGGATGATTGGGTTTGAAGAGTCCTTAAAGATCATCCAGTTTCACCCCCACGCTGTAACAGGGCTGTCCCCCAGCAGATCAGGTTGCCCAGGGCTGTGTCCTACCTGGCCTTTTGAATGCTCCCGAGGGTTGGGCATCCACAGCTTCTTTGGGCAGTCTGTTCCAGTGCCTCACCATTATCTGAGTGGATATCTAACCTCTGTTTCCAGTGTTTTAGCTTAAAGAGGCTTAGATGGCTCAGAGCAGCTTGGGTGAGGATAATGACCTGATGGTGTAACTCAGGAGTGCCCAGACTGAGATAATGGGGTTGCACACAGGGTGGCACTTTGGGCATTTATTGAATTTGTTGTGTGACCTGGAGCCCTGTGAGTATGGATGTGCATGGGCTGTATAGTAGAATAAAAGCAGCTCTGTGTTTGCAGGGTAGCTTAATTAGCAGCCCATGGAGTTGTTCATCAGTATGTTGGAAGCATGTGTTTGCATCAACGTTTCTGGCAGAAATGTAATGCAATGGGAATGCACTTCCTCTTATTCCCTCCCACCCCAATAAATAAAATCCAATCCACCTGATGAGGAAGGCTTTGAGTATCTCCATAGAAGGATATTTGCCCACCTCTATGGGCAGCCTGTTCCAAGGCTCTGTCACCCTCACAGTAAAGAAATATTTCCTCATCTTCAGATGGAACTTTCTGTATTCCAGTTTATGCCCCTTGTTCTGTCACTGGGTGCCATTGAGAAGCACCTGGCCCCATCCACTCAATTCCTGCCTTTTGGATATCAATAAACACTGATGAGATCCCCTCTCCACCTTCTCCAGGCAAACAGCCTTTCCCCATACAGGAGATGCTCCAGGCCCATATCATCTTTCCATTCACTCCAGCAGTTTCATGTCTGCCTTGAACTGAGGAGCACAGAACTGCACACAGCACTCCAGATTTGCCCTCCACAGAGCAGAACAGAGCAGAAGGATCACCTCCCATGCCCTGATGGCCACACTCCTTTAATACACCCCAAATATCTTTGACCTTCATGGCCACCATGGCACTCTGCTGGCTCCTGGTCACCCAGATCCCTCTCTGCTCCCTCTCTCCTTAGTCTCCTTTTTTTATTCTCTCATCTCTAACCCAGTGTGGGATGGCTGACTTACTGCTGAAACACTCTTTGGTGTTTCAGCATTCCAGGAGATTTCGGGAACAGTTTTGGAATTTTTCCTTTTTTCTTTTTCCCATCTGTGTGCCTGTGGTTCACCCTGGAGAGCTGCCAGCCCTCCCCTCGTGCCTGTGCTGGGATCCTTACTCACTCCTTAATCACTTCCCATCCTGGCCATTGCACTTCTCCCCTCACAGCATCTGTAAGACTTTGCTCCGTCAGTTCTCTCCAATGATGCAGACACAAGGCTGTCTCATCCCACAGCCCAGACCTGGGTGTCTTCACCTCCTGGCTGCGCTGCTGTTCCCTTTGCAGCTTGTTGCCATTGTCCCTGTCTCACCACCTCCTTCTGCCCACATCCCTGCTCAATCAGCCAACCGTAGCTTCCTTTTTGCTGATAGTCTCAATTTTTTGATTGTTTTTCTTTACCCATTCGGAATGTTTTTGCATTTTTTCAGCAACTTAGTCATTTCCTTTCCTTTTTTTTTTTTTTTTTTTTTTTTTTAATTGCCATCAAACTTTTTGCTTGAGAAGTTCAGTGCTTGTTAATGCTGCGTAGTCACATTTAGATGTCTTATTCCCTTTGCCTTCCCCTTTGGGGGAAGCCTTGTTTTCTCTACCACGGTTGGAGATTTATTCTTAATGGAAGGAGCTAAAAGCCCAGTTATGAACGTTGAACCTCCTCCTTGCTCCTCGTGTTGGTTTGAAGGAACTGCCCTGAAGTTGTGTGAACATGGGGAGATGCAATGAGGTGTAGTGCCACGGGGTTGTAATGCTCCCTTGGGAAGGCCCTTGCAGAACAGGAGAAGTGGATCTTGGCTAACTGACCTAGAGAGGGCATGGGTTGATGGTTGGACTAGATGATCTTAATTGGTCCTTCCAGCCTTAATGATTGTGTGATTCTAATGCGTGAGATGAGACTTTAGGATTTAAAGAAAATTAGCATTCCCAAACTGAATTTGAATTGTTGTTTGGTTCTGAGAATCTTCTGCTGTAACTTAGGTCTCCAGGCTGGAAGTTACTTAGCAAGATAAAGGAAAAGGCTGTAACATAAAAATGGGAGACAAAGGAAATCTCCCTCATTTTACAGGTGCAGAAAAGAAAGATCATATCACCTACGTGAAGCTGGGCACTGCTTTCTGCAAGCCTGCTCGTGCTCTCCCACCCATTGTCTGTCTTATTTCTCAATAATCTGACTTCTGTGCTCTTCCCCCCCCCTAGGTCTGTGGCGATGGAAGAAGAGACCCAACATCGAGGAGCCTGAATGCTGACAGCAGGACAGCACTTGGAGACACTGGTAGCACCAACCTGAGATACAGAGGCAGCAACCATGCTGAAGCCAAGTGGACTTAAAATCCCTGGCAGGGCAGTGAAGCACTCCAGCCCAGTGGGACGAGCATCAGGGACAGCAGCGGCGACTGTCACCACTGGTACAAAGGAAGGTAGGAACTCCGTCAGTGGGGGCAATGAGCTGAGCCAAGTGATGGCTAGGTTTAAAGGCAAAGACCCAGTGATGCTCAGTAAGGTGAGAAATTGCTCATCTTGTAAGGAGGCTGATCTTGAGCGTGGGTCAAAACAAATATGAACAAATATCCTCCCTCGTCCAACTGATGTCTCCTGTCTGGATTGTTTAGGTATGGGTGTGATTGCTCTGGCAGTTGGAGATGGCCACAAAGCATGGGATTGCCAACATGCATAGCCCCCAACCCAAGTTTGGGCAGATTTTGGTTGACAGTGGTTTTTTAGCCGAAAGGTTGCACTGGTGTGGTGCTGCGAGACAGAGAAGGAATTGTATGTGTCCTTCTACATTCATTAAAATCTAAGAGCTGGTAATACTTGTGCAGATGGGAACCTCACCCTGGGACGCCTTAAACACTGTCCTATAGCCATTGCTTCTGGCCTGTGGTAATGTTTTAGTGAGAACCAGGCACTGAAGGTAATTTGCCCTGTGCTAGTTATCTCAGATTAGTGCCTTTGTTTCAATAGAATCATTGGAAGCACTGGGATATCAACAGTGATTTATCTAGACACACACATACATGTCTTATTGTCCATTTATCTATATCCAGGGTATACAGAAGCTGTACAGACTGCTGTAATTACACTTCAAAAGGGTTTGAGTGTTGTTTAGCGTTTTCTTCTGGCTGTTTTGACTGCTGTGGTTTTTGTTTTGCTTTGTGAGGTATGTGGGGTCTTTGCACGGAATGCCTCTGCTCAGTGTTGAGCAAACTTGGCTGTGTTTTGCTGTCACGTGGCAGGGGCTGTGCTCTGCTCATGGGCATACATCATCTCTGCTGTTCTTAATTTGAACAATGTTGTAAGAACCACAGTTTTAACTTTAACTTGCAAGGTGTTGTTTGAGGGGCTGGTGACCACATGAGATTATGGGCTGAAGCAGAGATCATTCCCTACAATGGGAATGTAACATCGCTGTTGTTTCTCAGCTGGCGACTTGACTCTACTGGTTCTTAATACTAGAGTCATTTGTTAGTTTAGCATCCAAATCAAAGAAAATAAAAGCCTCCTTGGCTGTTTCCTAGAGGGATGCTCAGGTTAACAAAGGAAATTCTTAGGGTAAGGATTATGTGTTTATTTTGAAGTTGTTCCCCAGATTCATTTCTGTATTTCCCCCACTTTTTTCTTCTTGCTGTATATCTGTAGCTGAGAAATGAACTCTGAGGACTCTAAGTGACTAGTTACCACTGGGTGTGAATCTCTCAAGGCACAGTGGATTGATAGTTGTGCATGGTGTGGAGCTGCTTTCAGTTGGCTTTTATCCTAAGAAAAGCTGATGGGGCAGACCCCAAGGCCTCTCTCTTCCCTCTGAGGCTTTGCACAGAAGCATCCCAGCAAACACAGCGTGTGTGTTGCAGGGTGAAGGAGTCATTGCAGAGAGCAGCACTGGGGGCTGATGGGACTGCTGTGCTGAATGCAGCACTTGTTTGCTGCAGCCTTTGTGCCTTGTTCAGCTACAGCACTCTGCCAGCATGGGATGCTCAGCACAGCCTGGGGCAGAGTCATCGCTGGGTGGCAGGGCCCAGCCACAGTGCAGGCAGTAATGGGGGGAAGAAAGAAGTCTCCTAAGCTTGAAATGCAATTGTAAAGGAAAACCACAGATCTGTTAAAGTGCAGAATTAAAATGCAGTGGTGCAAAATAAAATGCAGTCTGTTGGCTCTGAGCTGCCTTCAGTAACCTGGGGATGGCTCAGAAAGATCCTGCACATGGATTGAGTCTTCCAAATGGGCAATGAAGAGAAGGTGTTCGTTCTTCAGTTGTGCCTGAGAGTTGTCAGAAACCATTTGATGCAAATATATATTGGGAAGCTTCAACTCTTCCTTGTGCCTTCCCCTGAGCCCATCAGTCTTGTCTTGAAATAGTGGTAGGAAATACGCTGTCTTTTATTCTTTGACTGGAATATGCAGAGGTGCTTTGGTTGCTTCTTTTCTACTATTCTGTTCATGTTCTTCTGTAGAAAGTCAAGAGTCTCTCATCCATCTCTCATCTCTTCCTTTTCCAGGCAGTGGAGATGTACCTTGCTGAGTGCTTCCATGTACTCCTGACAGCTTGTATAACAAAAAATATGATTGATAGAAACATGAGATGTGTGTATATTCACGGCTTTGTGTCTTTGTGAAGACCCCATATGACAAAGTCATAGCATGTGAGGAAGAATGGGCATGGCATGTCTGAGTTTTGCCCTGGACACTCTTACTCTGGTTCCACAGTTTCTTACCGCCTCTTTGTCACTGAACTTTCTCAGTGTGGAGATTTACTGCATCTCCTGCCTGATGTGACGCTTGGGAAGGTCTGAGGGCTTTTTGTGGTCTATTTAAGTTGGAGCTTAATGGGTATTTCCACTGAAAGTCAGCAGGAGAGAGGCACCTGGCATGGGCTCTTGGAAAACGTCCGCCTCAATGAGTGGTGTCCGTGATGACTCTCCCCCTCCCTTTCTCTTCCATAAAGCTGAAACAATGGAAAAAATAAGTTTTACTTTGTTCTGGTGACTGTTTTTCTTAAAACCAGACTGAAAATTCATCTCTAGCTGTGTGAGGACAGGATTTCCCACACGTGTTGGCCTGTTCTCTATGCTTCAACTAAAGAACTTTACTGCCTTCAGCCCTGCATGTAAGCAAAGTTTCTGTGCAAAAGGTGTGGGACACTCTAAAGGGCTCAATATGTCATTTGGATTTCTTTTTCTAAAAAAGCTCATACGTCTTATTTTCTACCCCACCCCCTCCTGGGAAAAGCCTGCTTTTGCCTGGAGCTGCGAAATGGAGAGAGAATGGAAGTTGTGATGAATGGGCCCACACAGCCTCCAGCTGGTGGAACAGGTGAAGGGAATGCTGGAGCCAGCTGATGGGAAAGGCTTTCCTCTCCAACCAAGCTGCTGTACTGCTGCTCTGAGTGCTTTTGTCTGCTTTGTGGGGTTCTTAAATCTCTTCTTCAGTCAAAGAATGTTGGCAGAAGGGTGGTGGGAAAAAAAGGAAAACCAGTATTTGTAGACAGCATTGGGTGAGAATGGGACAATCCTAGTAGAGGCAGAGCAACCCACACCAGTGTCTTTGTCTGCAAGACTGAAGTGCATCCAGTCTGAGCCTGGTGTAGATGAGCTGTGCTTTGCTGGTAGCTGTGATGGAGATAGATGCAGCCACAGTGCTTGCTTTGGGCTGTGTGATCAGAGGTCTGGGGTCTTTAGAGCTGTTGTTACCATTCCTTTTTAAGAAATTGTTGTTTGGTGGTTTTTTTGTTCATCTAAACAGGATTTCTCACTGTTCTAGTTTAGGCTTTTTATTAAGCTGCAAGAAGGAGGGCTGTTTTTTTCTTGCTCACCAATTTATTAATTCTCACTTTGAAATAAATGTGAAAGACACAAAACTACTGTTTTGTCTGAAACACAATCAATGTGGTTGTGGTGCCCAGAGCAGCTGATTGACCGGCACAGACAGAGGGAGCTGACACTCGTCTATTCAAAGCTTTGTGGATCTTGATTAATATTAAACTTAGGGTGTTGTGCACTGGTAAATTGGGAGAAATGGCCCCATACCATGGGGCTGAGCCTGCTATTATCATAGAACCTTAGAACGGCCTGGGTTGAAAGGGATCACAATGATCATCTTGTTTCAACCCTGGCTCTGTGCATAGTTGCCAACCACCAGACCAGACTGCCCAGAGCCACATCCAGCTTGGCCTCGAATGCCTCCAGGGACCAGCAAACATTTGGTTTTGACACTTTGGCTCTGCCCTCAATTAAATCCATGCTGCAAGAGTGAATGGATGTTCGTGAGTTAGATCAGCAGCCAGTACACAAACACTGGTGATGCAGCAGTCAAGTTTGATTGGGCTTTGCTTTATCTTCATGGGTCTGTTGAACTTGTAATTTCTAGGTTAGGTGCTGCAGCATCAACAGATATTTATCAGTCTGTAGTAACAGCCACGTTTCCAGCACACAGCATTCACCTGCTCAGGAGTTACCTGGAAGAAAACAGCTGTATGCTTTCAAGTGTTGCACAGAAGAAAAACTGCAGATGAGTATTGATGGTTTGTTAATTTAGGACCTGACAGAAAGAGGTGGCTGCTAGGAATGTTTGGAAAGTTGATAGGGAATTGATTATGGGATGCTTATGAAGGTTGTATTCAGCTTAGTGCAGGTGTTTGTGATGCAGGAGGGGGGGATGCCTTGCAGTACGTTATCCCCTGCTCCCATTCTGCTTTCTGTCTTGAACAAGGGAGGGACCTTGGGAGCTCCTTTCCCAAGGAGGTGATTTGGTGCGTGCCAACCAATACAAAAGGGCATTGAATCTATCTTGGTTTAATCAGCTTTGCAGATGACATTTAGAGATGACTGAGAGTCTGATTTTTAATTGTCTTAACTGTGAGATGCTCTTAGTGGGATTTAATGTAGTTAATCCTTAAACATTCAGTGCACCCACTGCAGAATGAGATGTGAGCACATGCTGAAGGCATATAGAGGTTGGATGCCCTCCTGCTCCCCATCAGCAGCTCCTTGCAGGGCACCATGGAAGGGAAATCTGCTTCCCACAGATGCCCAGCCTATGGGGGTTTGGCTATACTGAACCAAATCCTATTCAACTTTTTTGCTTTACTGAATCATCTGAGTGCTGGAATGATGTAAGAGCAGGCAATGTGCATTATGTATCTGGAGAAAGCCCTGTGCTCAGTGTCTGTGCTGGAGCCAGAGCTGAATGAGGCTCTCCCAGTCCCTGTGATTTAACCTTTCTTTCCCCTACTGGGAAGGATTCAATGATCTTCATGGTCTTTCCAACCTTAATAAGGGTATGATTTGGTTGTTAGCAGTAGGGGCACTCCACGTGGCTGCTCAGGTTGTATCCTGTGAGTCAGCATCCCAAATTGCACACACGCAGCATCTTCGTTACATTCCTGGCACTGGCTGCTCTTGATCCTCAGCCTGGATCTCTCAGA